GCCGCCCCCGCCCCCCGCCCCCGCCCCCTCCATCTGCCGGGGAGAAGGAGGTGGAGTGCACGCGGCGGGCTCTGAGATAGCCAGCTCTTTCAGGGGGTCGGGGTACGTCGAGGGGCAGGAAGGTGGGGGCGGGCAAGAAATACTGATCGATGGCATGGTGTATTTACAGAGGACAAGGAGAAGCCGAAACGGACGGGACAGGGTTGTCCGTTTTTAAAAATGAACAAAAACCCAGGCTTGGGGCAGGGGTTCTAAGGAAGTGGTAAAATGAGATGGATTTTTAAAGGGGAGGGGGCCTGGCGGGGGTCACACCTCCCTTGGTCCAAGCCACAATTTGGGGTTAAAGTGGGGAAACGGAGTCGATTTCACTTAGAAAGCAGGCTGCCAGCAGAGCAGCCTTGGTCTCCAAAAAGATGAGTAGTAGTAAAATGTTGCCCTCCAGTCAAAATATGGGAAAACTGTGGGGTAGGGGTGGGGTGAGGCTGAATTTCTGCGATGTTAGTACAAGGCTTCCAGGTGTCGCCCTGGGCAGGGCAGGGCCAGCGGGCCTGGCTCTCCAGGGAGAAGTGTTCTCCTTGCCTAAGACCAGGGTCTTGCAGCCAGGCCCCCAAAGCTGGCCTCTCTCCCTGGCATTCCCAGGCTTGGCCAGGAAATCTGGACCCAGAGAGGTTGAACAGTTCCAGGAGGAGGTTATGGCTATTTGGCACCTGGGAGATGGGAGGCACAAGGAAAAATAGAGGGCTGCTGCCCCAGGAAAGGGGGAGCTGGGAACCAGGTGTCCTGGACTCTCCCTTTTTCCTACTCACTCCCCTTTTCCCGAAGGATACATGAGAAATCAGTGCAGGGCCAGGCCCAGACTCGGGCTCTGGGGTGGACTATCCCTCCTGGGATAGGGAACAAGGACGGGAGGTGGTGTTGAGGCAACCCCCCAGACAGGAGGGCTGGAATGCAACAGACAGCACAAGGATGGGGGGAAGAGGGCAGGGCCAAGAAGGTGACTCAGTCAAGGTGCCCCATGGGCAGGGAGCAGCCTCCAGTTGAGGAGATGCTGGGAAAGCCCCCAGCCCCATTCCAGTCCAGAGACAAAAGCTGGAGGTTGTAAAGTCTGGCAGTTTGGTCTGCAGGTCCTTGAGTCCATCCACACCCAGGCCAGCCCTCGGCATCTCTCGGCCTCTCCCTCAACCCCACGGGGCAAGAAGGAGGCCACCCTTCCAGCCACCTCTGTCCGCCCGGGCCACCACCTTAAGGGGCCTGTGATAAGGTCCCTCTGGTCCCTGAAGCTGGGGGAGGTTGGGTGGATGGGGAGGGGGAGTCGGGGCACCTGTCCCCAGGCTGGATAGGGGTGGGGTGGGGTAGTAAGGACAGGGAAGGGAGGATGATGGGAACAGATTCTTAATTGTCCGGTCAAGGAATGATTCCTGTTAAGTAGAATTGGAATTCCTCAGTGTTTGCAGGTTTCCTTCCAGCTCTGAGATCTGGAAACAAAGGAGAGGAGGGTCAGGCCTGGGCACAGGGCATAGGCCCTGTCCCTCTTCTCCCTGGGCTCTCACCAGCAGGGCAACCCCCTCTCCCTCCAGGAACCACTGGGTGGGTGCTGGGTAGGGCTTGCATGCTGCTCTCTCCATAGGGCCCTACCCCCAGGAGACCCCTGGGCCCACCTTGTCCAGAAGCTTGTCCATCTCTTCCTTCCTGGCCAGTTCTGACTCCTCCAACACCCGACGCTGTGCGGTCTCCTTTTTCAGGAATTCAATCTCCCTGGGGACAGGCAAGGGACAGATGGTGGGCAAAAGCGTGTGGTCTGGCTTCTGTCCAGGGGTCCTCAGCCTGTTCTCAGCTCCTCCTGGACAGCTCTGCCCTTTTCCTATTCTTAGGTCAGGAGGTTCCACGTTTCCGCCAAGCCTCTGGGACTTGGCTCTGTGCTGGCTCTGGTGCTCAGATGTTCCAGGCCTGGGTACCCCCATCGTGGGGCCCTCCAATGTTGGTGCTCCTGTCTCCCTACTCAGCTGTGGGGGGAACTGCCACCAAAGCCTCTCACTCCTCCCCAGGCCCCAGCCCGACCCCCAGCCCCTGGCCACGTACTTCTGCTGGTAGTCCTTGATGAGGCGCTTGGCCTTGCTGTACTTGCGCTCCAAGGCCTGGTACTGGGCCTGGGTCTCCCGCAGGTGCTCATCCACGGCCTGGCACAGGCTCTGGGCCTCGCCCCAGTAGCCCTCCAGCTTCTCCATGCGCTCCTTGTTCTCCTCCACACTCTGCTCCAGCTGGGCCTTCTCCACCCGCCAGCGCCCCTTCTCCTGCTCCAGGCTTTGCAGCTGAGAGAAGGAGCACCCCTGGGTTAGTGGGGGGCTAGAGGGAGCCAAGGACACCCCCATCCTGGCTCTCAGGCCAGAGTGTCCAGGGGATTCCTGCAGATGTGGAGCCCACTGTACCCCAACTGCTACCTCTCTGTGGCTGAGCCTGAGGACTGAAACCCAGAGGGAAGAGGTGGGACCCTGGTGTTAGGGCTTCCAGCCAGGGTCTGTGTCACTGTAGCCCAGCCCCAGGAAGGCAGGAGGCCTGGGTGAGTCACTGACTAGCTCTGTGGCTCGGGGTAAGGTGCCTTCTGTTTCAAACTTCAGCCCTCCCACCTATAAAGTGGGAGTGAGAGCTGCCCCCACACTGAGGGGGCTACAGGGAGAGGGGAGATGTGAAACGTGGCAGGTGAGGGCCGCCATTGCTCTGTCCCTCTCTGCAGCTCTGGCCCTTAGCCCTTGTTCTGGGAGCTTCCCAAACAAACCTGGCTCCGCCCCCAGGTTTTAGGGGACCCCCATGCAGACTTCTAGTCCCCAAGAGCTCAGTCCTGGATCCTCTGCTCCGCCTACACTCACTGCCCTAGGGCACGGTCCCATCTCCCATACCACCTCTGGGCACTAAGCCCCGCGTCCCAAGCTTCAGCCCAAGCTTCAGCCCAAGTGGCTCTGGGTTGGTGGGGGCCAACCTCCAGCCAGTTGGTGGGGTGCAGCTCTAACCCACTTCCAACTTTCAGCCGAATCTCCCAGCTCCTCATAGAAACCATGCCCTAACCAGACTCCCACCGCGCAAACTTATGCCTCTTTTCCTGACTTGCTCACCGGTTATGAGGCGTCATCATCTGCTAGCCATCAGTCTGCCCTGCCACCTGTTTTTTCTTTTCTCTTTGAATTGTCAGAGGGCACTTGCACATGCCAGCGAGAGAGACAGAAAGAGGAAGAAGGAAAAAGCACCTCCCCATGGGGCAGTGGTCACCATTTCTCCATCCTGCTGGGATTTGGGACATACACACACACATGCCTTGTGTGTTTTTCAAGACCCTGGGACTGAGATTGGAACTGCATTCACCCATGTGGGATCCAGTTCCTTTAGCCAGTAGGTTACGGGTCTGGCCCTTCCCTTGCCACCTTGTTTGCTGCAAACATCCTTGCTCTCTGGGCCCCGGCAACATGGGCCTTCCTGCAAGGCCTACATTGCCACAGAGCCTTTGCACACACTGTCCCCCTGTCTGGAATGTCTTCTCCAACCTCCTTATCTAGTCCTGTGCCACCAGCCCACCCTTCAGCCCTCTGCTCAGTGTATCACTTCTCCAGAAAGCTGCCCGTGACTCCTGCCAGCAGTACAGCCCCAGCGTCACCCCCAACTGGAGGGGGTTCCTCCTGAATCAGGAGTTCGGGAACCCTGTCCTCTCCTACAGCACCCTGTGTCAGTTTGTAATGGCAGTCGCTGGTGTGCAGACGCTAACTGCATGAGGACAAGGACACCACAGTGAAGGGCCAGTGCTGGGTATCTAGGAAGTTCCAATGGATGTCTGTTAGTTAAATGCATGATCAGACCTGACTCACCCCTCCCTTCATGCTCTGCAGACACCCAGGAATGTGGCCTGGCACCTTGACCTGGAAATGCAGCTCTAACCTGCCCTTCCTTTCCATGCCCTCTGCCTGCACTCTGGGCGGTCCTGGTCTACCCCTGCCAGCACACTGAGCAGGCCTCTCACCAGGCTGCCTGCCTCCAGGTCCTACCTGCCCTCACGCCCTGCCACCTGGCGGCAGCGACCTGCCAAAACCCCCACATGGCACACAGTCTGTGCAGCGTCCAGGCCCAAGGCTAGTTCTGAGGAGGAGTGAGGACCCGAAGGCCCGCAGTCCACCTGGCTGTCCAGTCCTGCCTCCCACCTCTCCCCACAGGAACAGCTGCCACAGCCTGGCAGCACCTCACAGAGCCAGCCCCCACGCTCTTGTCTCTCGCCAGGAAAGCCACCTACACCAGCCATCTAAACCCTGCCTTCCCCCCGGGGCAAGGCTGCACGCTCTCCTCTCTATGTGCACGCTGCATACACACGCACACGTGGGGTGCACGAGCCTGCATGGCCCCTGTAGGCCCGTCTTCCACCACAGGGAAGCCCCAGCCTGACAGAGACATTGAATATGAAGAGTGTGTCTCTATGCTGCAGGCGTGCTGGCACCTGATGTGCGTGTGTAAACATCTGTGTGTGGTGCGTGCGTGCGTCACCATCGGGTGGTGTCACCTGTGCTGCCCGCCCAGATGGGAACACGAGTGTCCTATGACACTCTTCCTGGACCAGGTGGGCTGAATGATGGGCACGCCTGAGTCTCAGAGCAGACGGAGGCGGCGTGGCGGGCGGCCCTAGGTGGCCTGTCACGTGAAAGGGGGGGTCTGGTCTCTGTGACTAAGTCTGTGGAGAGTGGGTTTCTCAGGTGTCTAGGTAAGTAGGGCCAGGGGATCCCTGCAGGTGTGTCCCTGGGCAGTATTATTGCTGGCCTGCACACAGAAGACACGCGTGTGATAAAAGCACGACCCTGAAGGCAGCGGGTGTCTGCCTCGCACTTCAGTGTAACCGCCTGGCTTTACTGCGCACCTATTCTGCGTTACGGCACTGAGCTAAGGACCTTCCGTGTATTATCCTGGGACTTTACATCTATGATCCTGTGGCATCGGCACTGCTGTTGCCCTGTTTAGCACATGAGGACACTGAGACCCAGAGCGGCAGGCGAGTGGTAGAGCAGACAGGCCCAGAGCTCTCAACGCCAAGTTCCCCTGCCCCAGCCCGGCCTGTTCTGTGGTGCCGGTGAGTGGTGGACAGCTGTCAGCGTGTGCAGGAGGAGGGCGGCTGTCCTTCCCCGCCCACAGACCCCGGTCCTCGGTACCTGCTCCTCGGTACCCGCTCCTCACCTTTCTCTTCAGCTGCTGGATCTCTGCCTCGGTCACGGCATGCTTGATCTGGAGCTGCGGGCGGAGGGGCAGGCACTCAGCTCGCTGGGCAGGCAGGGCTGAGGGTCGGCGTTGGGTCTGCCTCCGCCCTCCCCCTCCCCAGGCACCCCAGCTCCCCCCACCTCTTTGAACTTGTGCACCAGTTTCTCAGGCTCCATGTCCACGGGGGACAGCGCATCCTCGTTCTCTGCCAGCTCGAACACCTCGATGGCCATCTCGCCACCCGGGAATGTGGGGCTCAGCTCCTCATCCTCGTCAGTGGCATACTCCCCTGTCTGTGGAGGGAGGTAGGAAGCCCCCCTCAGCCCTGATGACCAGCAGCACCAGCCCGTGTCAGCCGGGAGCTCCCCCAGGGTGTGGGTCATGCCTCCTTCATCAGCCTGGGGTTCCCCTATAAGACTGGGACCCCGGAAACCAGCAGGTGGCGTGGTGGTTAAAGTGCTGGACATTCCCACATGGCCGACCAGTTTGAGTCCTGGGCTTGGTGGCTTGCTTTCTCACTTTCCTTCTCTTTCTCTCTGTCTCTCTGTGTCTCTTTCTGGTCAAATTAAAATAAATGAATGAATGAGTAAATAAATCAATAAAGACTGGGACTCCAAAAGAACACCCTGTAATGTCCCCCTCACCCCTGAGGTTAGGGACTATGCTACAGTTCTCTTGGAAGGAACTGTGTTTTCCCTGTAGGACCATGAAGGCTCTCTGAAGATAGAGGATGCAACTTCTCCGTCAGACTAGGGCTTCTTTGAGGGAAGGGTCTGCACCTCCTTCCTGAGACTGGGGCCTCCTCTGGGATAGGAAATGGCACTAGGTACTTTTTCAGGCCCTCCTGGAAAGAGTAGAGGTAGATGGCTGTAATGGTTCATGTGGCCACCAGGGGGCAATGGCACCGCCAGCCAGGCTGGGGTCCCTACCTCTTCGTCATCCTCCCCGTACTGGGCGTATCTCTGTTCCATCATCTCCCGCTGCCATCGTTCCTGTTCCAGGGTCTGTTGGATTAGCTGGGCCACTTCGCTCTGCTCTCCTGGCCGCTCCCGGCCAATCATAAACCTGCAGGCACACAGCACCTCCTCTGCTTCTCTGCCTGGCTGGGTCACGGCACCTCCTCCCTGCTGGTGCTCCCCACTCCAAACCCCAGCCCTCCCAGGAAAGGTGAACCGAGAGGCCGAGTCCACAGTCTGCAGGGTGTTAATAATGAATGGGCAAGCTGGAGGCCCTTACTGGGTTTCCTTCCCAGGGGAGGCAGGAAGGCCCACGAGCTCTCCTGGTCACACTTAGGACTGGGCTGCAGGGGACCTGAGCTCAGGAGTTGCCAGTTAGGGGGCTCTTCCTCAACCATGGGTGAGACAGGAGGCAGGGGTAGAATAAAGATGACCCATCCCACCAGGGCTAGGGCTGTGGAGGTGTGTCTTGGCTCCCCTCCAAGCCCCTGAGCTTCAGGAAGGGGCGGGATGATGAAGACTGGAGATTAGGATGGAGAGGAAATAGTGGAACTTCCAGGCACCAGGCCCCTCCTCCCATGGCCACCCACATCCTGCCTCTTTCCACCACCCTTTCCTGGGGGCAGTGCCCCTCTTGGAGGGGGCAGGGAGTGATCCTGAATGTTATGCTAGAGGTGGAGTGAACCCAGGGAGCGTCTAACTCATCCTCCCCTTTGTTAATAAACCCAGGGAGGAATCTTCCCAGGATTCCATCGGGCTGGTCGGCGGAAGGATGAAGTTCCACAGGAGCACTGCCACTTTGGTTGGCACCCACCCTGCACGGCTTTGTTCTTCAATGAGTAAGTCAGGGACTGACAGGTAAGGAGAAGCCTAGGAGGACTGTCTGGAGGGGTCTTGAGGCCTGAATGCTGGTGGCCAGCAGCGGCCAAGGAGTGTGGGATGGGAAGGCAAGCATGGGGTGAGTGGCCTCTTCAGGTAGGGAGGCGGGCCGCCCCAAACTAGAGCTCGGTGTGTGCAGGTACACGGAGTGACCGGACGGCCAAGTCTCCTGCCCACCTGCCCCCGCCCCTGGGGCTCTTACCGCACTCGGCCCTTGGTGTTCCGGAGCACGGAGGCTGCAAAGCTCTGGGTCACCCCCACCAGACTCGTGCCATCTACTTCCACCAGGAGGTCATTCACCTGGATCCTAGAGGACATTGGTTCAGGGGTCACAAAGGGAACTATGGAGCTAGGGTAGAGGAGACCCCTCCCACTGGAAACTCAGGGCCCCAGAGACCTAGCACTTTGTGGACCTGCATAACATTCATGAAGCCAGGACCAGCAGTGGGTGTAATGGCTACTTCGCTGAACTCCCATGTAGCCGACCGCAGTTTGAGTCCCAGACCTGGTGGCTTAAACTCATGCCGGGTGCGTGTGCGTGCGTGCCCAAGATTCCGAGAGGAGAGTGGCGGGGAAGGGATTGGGGCATGGCCATCCCCCCTGGGGGATGTTTTCTTGCTTTCTGTCTGTCTCTCTCTGTCTTTCTGGCGAGCACACATGGCCTATAGCAAAAATCTCTCAAAAGCAAAATTCATGAAGCCAGAGGATCAGGTATCAGCCAGGCCCACCTATGAGGGCAGCGAGCGGGGAGAGCAGACACAGACATCGGGGCCAGGAGAGGCGGTGGGATGGTGGGGTGGCGGCACACCTTCTCTGACAATCACTCTTTCTTCTCAAACAGGACCTCACTACATTGTGATCCTCCTGACTCAGCCCCCTGGGTAGGTGGCTAGGACTGTGGTAGCAGGCCACCATGTCTGGCTCGTACAGTAAACTGGACCGGGCCTTCCCTGTGGCCTCGGCCTGCCAAGTAGCTGCGTCTATATCATGCACTACTACAGCTAGGCCCAGGCAGTCACACCCATGTCCCTCCTCCATCACACTCGACGGAGCCGTGTGTCATCCTCTAACATGCACACCACAAGGACTCACAGAACACGTGACGCAGACCCAGGTCCCCAGACGCCCTCCCCAATATCCAAGGCCTGAGCAGCACTGGAGTTCACACGCCCCACACACACTGCTGCAGGCGCACCCCCCCGACACATTCCAGCTGTGCACCCCAGCCGCTGTTCTCCAGCCTGGCCTGCTGCGGGATGTGGCAGGCTGGAGGACCCTGGCCACGTCCTCCCTCCACTCCCACCTCCCTGGGGCTCCACGTGGGCCTGAGCCCGTGGACACGCTCCCAGCCTGCCCACAGGAGAGGATGGGAAAGGCTCTGGAGAGAGCAGAGGCTGTCACCCTTCCCCTTCGCTGCCCACCTCATGCCACCTGGGCCATGACAACCTCACTTCTAGGGATGGGACTCCAAAGTCACCCAGCCCTCACAAGGACACCACTCACCTCTGCCCCATGGAGGGGTCTGGGCTTGAAAAGACCACCACAAGGGACCCTAGTGAAACCTCCAAATTCTGACCACCCTGGTGGGGGGCCCTGTAAGCCTTCCCCCCTCTCCCCCTCCCACCCTGCAGTATACATACAGAACAGCCAACAGAGGCTCGCCAGGCTGGTTCGTATGACTTGCTCCTCTGGCATGGCTGACACAGGCATACACATATGGCATGCACAAGAGCGCCCCAGCTCCAGGGCACAGCCTTCCCAGTCTGCTCACATCCACGCCTGGCTCCCCTTGTGCTCTCTGCTCCAGCCACGGCTGCCTGCTCTGCCTGGAACTACCTGCATTCCCTTAAAGTAGCTAACGCCTGTTCATCCTTTAGTGTGCAGCGCCAATGGCACCTCCTCAGGAAGCCCTCCCTGATACCCAGAGAGGTCAAGCTCTATTTTTATGCTTTCACAGTACCTCGTATTTTTCCCCTCTGTTTTGCCATTTCCTGCATGTCTGCGCCTTGAGCGTCTGTCCACCTGACCACACTGCAGTGCTCTGTGGACAAGGCCCTCACCACCGACTTCCCAGGCCTGGCACCAGTCCAATATTTGGTAAATCAAAGTCAGGGACTCGATATTTGGTAAATTAAAGAAAATGTTCAGGGGTCGGCAGGTGGCATGGTGGTTAAAGGCATTGGATTCCCACATGGCCAACTGCGGTTTGAGTCCCAGACCTGGCAGCTTGTTTTCTCACTTTTCCTTCCTCTCTCTCTGGTCAAATTAAAATAATAATAATGCTAACAATGGATCCAGCAGTTGGCGTAATGGCTATGTCACTGGACTGCCATGTAGTCGACTGTGGTTCAAGTCCTGGACCTGGTGGCTTAAACTCATGCCAGGCGCATGTGCATCCGTGCCCAAGATCCCAAGAGGAGAAGGATTGTGGTGTGGCCGTCCCCAAAGGGTTTGATTTCTGTCTCTCTGTCTCTCTCTCTTTCTGGTGAGTGCATGTGCTCTATAGCAAAAACCTCTCCCCCGCCCAATTAAAATAAATAGTAATACTAACAAAAGGAATGAAATAAACAAATCATTGTTAAAAAAAACAAAGCTGAAATACACTCCAGGCACACTGCCTCCATGTCTGTGTTCTCCCACTCGACACCAGGACCCACGACACCTGCACGCGGTCTCCCCTTCCCCGCGCCTCTGGAGCACAGGTGCAAGAGAACAGGGTTTCTCTCGCCACTGTCTCCCCAGAGCCAAGTGGCACCGCAACAGCGCTCCCCGAACACCTGCACTAGCACACGGCACGTGCCCCCAGGGAACGGCGCACGCAGGTAAAGGCTTAGGGGAGGGAGCCAGTACCTGCCGTCCCGGTGGGCCGCGCCACCCTCGGTCACAGTCTTGACGAAGATGCCCAGCTTCTCCAGGCCCATGTCCGCGCCGGCCCCCATGCCAATGATGCTGATGCCCAGGCCCTCGGAGTCTGTGGAGCAGAAGGTGCTGAGAGGCCGGGGGGGACAGGACACGACGAGGTCCTACCCCCAGAGCCCTCCCTCCAGGGCCCAGCCCACATCGGGACACAGTCGCCATGCCAGGGCAGGCCCCACAGCTGGGGACAGGGCATGAGTCTGCCCACCCCATCTTTGCCAAGTCAGCTAGGATGGCCCTGCACCCCTTAAGAACTGCCAGCGGCAGGTGTGCTAGGGCAGTGTGGGCGAGTAGAGACGAAGCATGTGCGGGCAGGTGTGTGGCTGTGAGGGATGGCCATGCAGGGCTCAGCAGTCTCACAGGGTTTTACAGCTTCAGCCGCTGCAACCTTGAGGCCCACTCCCTTTCTACACTGGCCCCTGCCTGACTCCTGGCTCCTGACAACCCATGACCTTCCCCACCACCACCCCTGGGAGGCACCTGGGTTCCTCCCTCCCTCTCACGGCCTCCACCTGAGCCAAATAACCACGGAGCCTGTCGATTTTACCTCGGAAGGTCCTTCAGGTCTACCCACTCCTTGCCGCCATCATCTCATCCCCGCCACCGTGGTCTCTCTCCACCCCTGCGGCCCCTCTCCCTGGGTCACAGCCGGGCATGGTCTTGCCAGCATTCCCTTCCCTGCCTAGCAATGGCTCCTGACCTGTCTTAGAAAGAAGAGCACATGCCCCCTGGCCGGGAGTCCTGCCCTCACTGAGAAACGCAGTCTCTCCCTCTCTCAGGTACTCGCCCTTAATTCCTCCTGCTCAGAGTGGGCCCAGCAGCACTCCCTCCGGGAAGCCCTCCCTGCCCTGGCTGCTCAGGTCTCCTGGGAAGTCACACCAGCCCTGCCCTGTCCTTCCCAGCCCCATCACAGTGCATAGGGGTGTGTCAGTTGTGAGGGTTCCACCGATGGCTGCCCCCAAGACAAGGGAGACTGTTTCTGTCCATCACTGTATCCCCCACACAGGCTTCAGTGGGTACCCATTAAAGGAGTTGGTGACAGGTTTGGTGGTGGGCGTGAGCTTGGGCTGGGTCAGAGTCCACGTAAGCCCCCGGGGCACTGATAGGGGACCGTGGAGGGTGATGAAGGAGGCTCATCCACCAAGGCCCGAGTCAGAGGTAGGAGCCCAACGCATCTGTGGGAGCCCCTGAGGGCACAGGGCAGAGGCTGGCTTCAGAGAGGAGAGCCAGGTCAACCCCAGACTGTGCCCACCTGGCCTGGACCCCCGACTTCTCACCCTTCTCCAGCTCCACAGGAAACAGCTCCAACCTCTCCACCCGCTTCTCCAGCTCGTACTCGGCAGAGGCCGCCATGGGATCCACGTCCTCGTTGCGCCGATCATAGTCCTCATTGGAGTAGGTGCTGAACACCTAGGGAGGGCAGCTGGTCAGAGGCCTGGGGTGAGGAGGCCCAGGGCAGCAAGCCATCCACCTGACGCCCTGCCCCTCCTCACTGCTCCCCACCCACCCGAGACCAGACCTCCCCAAGCCCTGCAGGGACTCCAGCTCTGAGTGGAGCCCCTCCCGGATCAGAGGACAGGAGCCAGCCTTGCCCGGTGCAGACTGTCAGCTCCGGCAGGAGCAGGACAGCAGGCTGGCTGTGGGTGGAAGGACAATCCCCAAGAAGCTGGCACTCAGACGCCCGGCACTCAGGTCAGAGCAGGTGACAGCTGAGGACCCAGAGAGCCAGACAGAGGCAAGGGGGACACAAAGACACAGACGGTGACGACCATAGAGGAGAGAACAGGCTGAGCAGAAGAGGGGAAGAGGAGGAGGGAGAAAGGGTGGGGAAGATGCTGGAGGATGCCAGATGGGGAGAGGGGGGAGCGGGTGCGAGACACGCAGGGGGGGAGGGGAACAGGAGGGGGATGGGGAGAGACAGGCACCCAGGACCCGGCTGGACCTGAACCTCAAGTGGAGGTTGGGGGTGAGGGAAAGAAGCAGGCAGGCCCACCCCTGCCCCGAGAGAAAGGGCAGACTCTGGACCCCAGGTGACCCTCAGGTGGGCCCCTGTGGCCTCCCCTGCCCAGGCCCGTCTTATTCCAGATGGCAGCTCTGAGTTGGGCCCTCTGTCCCCGGCCATCAGGGGGCTCAACAGAGGCCTAGGCCCTGAGCCCTGGGTGCACCAAGGACACTGTGGGAGGCAGCTTCTCAGGCACTGGCCACCATGAACCCAGGTTGCAGGGGCCAGAGGCCAGCACTGCCTCCATGTCTCTTGCACCACTCGCTCCTCCCTCCCCTGCCCCTCCCCAAAGACCAGAGAAGGTGGAGCAGGCCTGCTCTGTGGGAATGCCTAATTCTGGGCCCAGGCAAGGGTGCCCCAGAGGGAGGTTAATGAGCACCATTTGGGGTACCATGACGTGTCTGGCCTCACTGCCTACAGCGACAGGTTGGCACCACTTGGAGCCAAGTGGGGGTGGGGGGGAAGCAGCTCTATCAGACAGCTGGGCTTGAGGCTTATGGCGCTGGAGTGGGGCAGCGTCTCCCCCAAGGCCCCTGCAGGGCCCCCTCTGCTCCAGGAGCCAGCCCTATGGGCACCCGCACTTGTGTCCCAGCCTTTGTTGAGGCTTTCTGGTGTCATCCCCACCCCCACCAGAGGCTCACTGCCATGGTGGGAGGGGGAGGGGTGCTCTGACGGCCAGAGCCCAGCTGGGAGGGGCCTGAGTGGTCACTTAGCTCAGTGCCCTCAATTTGTCTGCCTCAGGGACACTCAGGCTCAGGCCCTGAAAGATCACCTGTCCACTGTCAGTGGCCACTGGCCCCAAGCCCATTGGAAGAAGTGGCTGCCTGTCCCGCAGAGTCTGACACTGGGTCTGCCACCCAAGGTCACATGGTAGCCAGTGGCAGGGCAGGACAACACAGCACCCAGCTGGGCTCTGGGGTCAGGTCAGCGGTAACTCTCCCACTGCACAAGCACCCCAGGACAAGGGCTGGCCAGCTGTTGTCCACTTTTCCGCTGAGTCCCTTGACCCACACCCTCTGTTCCAGGAGACAGGGTCCCTCACCCCTTGGTCTCCACGGTCTCCTGGTCAACCACACCTGTTCTGTGCACATGCAGACACGCACCTACCATGACCTCCAAAACACAACTCACAGCCCCCCTGGCCTTTGCCCACCCCTCTTCCCTTCACCTTTCAAATCCTGCCCCCTGCAGGGATCCCAGGCCTCAGGCTCACAGGCCAGGGCGCCACCCACCCCAGCCTGTCGGAGGGCCCTGGACCCAGTCTCACCTCCCAAGGTGACAATCTGGAATTGAGTTCTGTGCTCTCAGCTGAAGCCTCCACCTCCATGAGGGCCACAACTAGGTCACCCGTGGGGCACGAGACCCGGAGCCACACTGATGCAGTGGGAGCAGGGAGAAGGAAAATGGAGCCCCAGAGCAGGGTAGGGAGGAGGAAGTTCCCCGCTAGCCCAAAAGTGGGAGCCGCTAAGTCCCGCCCCGCATGGTCTGGCGCTCACATGGTAGATGGCCTCAAAGTCACCAGGGAGTTGGGAAGCACTGCTCCAAATCATGTGCTATTTTTTACCAAAAAACCAGGGTAGGTGTCAAATATAGACAGCCAGAGGCCCGGACCAGACTCCATCTCTGAGGGCATCAGGCTGCTCTGAGAACAGGTGGGGGTGGGTGGGGGACCCTGAGTCCCTCAGAGTCCCTGAAACACCTCAGTCTTCCATCCCGACAGGATCCCACTGCCTGTGGAAGAGGAGATGGGAGATGGACAGGAGATGACCCCTAAGGCCCAGCCCAGGGGAAGGGGCTGGCCTGTAGCAGTCACCCTCTTTTAATCTTTTAGGCCTCTTGCTGGGGTGGAAGCAGGAGGGGGCAGAGGTTGAGATCTGGGGCGGGTGAGAGGAACTTGGGCAGCTTCACTGTCCAGGAGTAGTTATGGAAACTACACGCAAACACAGGGGGTTTGGCTGGGGCGCAGTACCGGCTGGGCAAGGGCCAGGCAAAGGCAAGCTCAGGGCCCTGAAAATGTCCATGGGATGGCG